GGGGGGGGGAATTAAAAAAAATAATAATAATACAGACAAAATTTCCTGCCTTTATGAAGCCCATATTCTGTTGGAGGGAGATGGACCATAAAAAGATTAATACACAGAACACCATCGTGTCTGGAGGTGATAATGGTTATGGAGCAATGTAGAGCAGCGAGAAGGATGAGAGAGAGAGACACTAAGAGAGACAGAGAAATGAGAGAGAAATGGAGAGAGACACACGCTCAGAGATAGTGACTGGGAGACAGGGAGAGAGAAATAGACACTAAGATAGAGACAGAAGCTGAGAGTCAGAGAGATGAGAGAGAGACAAAGAGAGATAAGAGAGACAGACCTGAAGATAGACAGAGCGAGATGCGAGGGACTTGAGAGGTGACGGAGACCCAGAGAGCCATATGCTCAGGTGCAGAGCCTGGGAGACCTCCTGGTCCCCAGCCGTGTCCATCCCAGCCATGGCCCCCACCAGGCCCACTAGCAATTCTGACCCTTGTCCCGTGCCATCCCTATATCTTTCTAGAAAATTCCCCCTTTGGGCTTTGGCCAGCCTGGAGGGTCCTGTCCCCTGCTGCCCTCTCTGATGTGGACCCGATGTCCACTCATGGCACACGGTGTGGGTGGGCTGCTCTGATCTCTTGCCCCGGATGTTTGTAGGTGAATTTCTGAATGGAAACATGGAGCCTGGTGTCCGGGAAACCTCAGAATTTTCTGGCACCCTTGTTCTGGGCAGCTGAGTTATCTCTGAATCTGGAACCTGTGGCCGATGCTGTGTTCCTCTTCTGGACCATGACGTCACCCTCCGGGGTTCCCCCTTCTCCCAGGGCTTCCCGGCTGCTGTGACTCTGGCAGCCTCTCTGAGAACTCTGGATGGCCAGAGGCTGGCTCCCTCGCCCACTGCTGTTTGGGCTTCAGATTTGGGGCCCACGTCACCCCATACTCTTCCTTTCCCCCACTGGGCTTCTGACTCCTCGGGGACAGGATCAGGGCCTCTGTCTGAAAACAAACCATTAGAGCCTTGGTCCCAAACAATTCCACATAATGGGAACGACACAGGCTCTCAGTCACTGAAGTTCAAAATGGGGGTCCAGGCAGGGCACGGGGTGGGGAGGGGGGGAGGGAAGGTTAGGGAGGGAGTCAGAGATGGGGTCAAGAAAAGCGAGCGGTCTCAGGGATGGGGCTAGGATGTGGGGAGGGTCAGTGTGAGGGAGTGGGCCCTTGGTGGCTGGTTTTCCTGGGCCAAAAAAACCCAAAAAGTTGAGTCAATAAATACTTGAGAAGGCCAAAATGTTCATGCTGTCAAAATTGCTGAATTATATAAAGGGGCTTGTTTCAGGTCTGGATGAGGCTGGGTGAGGGGGTGATGGAGGGAGATTGGTGCTAGTTGGAATGGGTGGGTTGAGCCAAGGAGTTGTCTGGTTCCCCGACAGCCCCTCTGCTGGGCTCCCCACCTCTGAGCCCTGAGGGGTGGTCTGGGTTCTCATTAAAACTATCCTCTGGTTCCCACAGCTCCCTGGGCTTCTCCACCATATGGCCCTCTGCTGCTTGTATTCGTTCAATCAACACATATTTATTGAGCACCTACTATGTGCTAGGCCCTGTCCTAGGTGCCGAAGATACAGCAGTGAGCCAGAGAAAAATTTCCTTCCCTCCTGGAGGTCCCACACTGGATGGGAGTTGGGGAGAGAAAGATAATAAACACGTAGACAGGTGCTATGCTAGGGGATGGTAAGAACTAGGAAGAAAAATAAGACAGGGTGAGGAGACACGGAAGAATTTCTCCAAAATCCCTCCTTTGTGGCTGCCCAACAGTTTTTTTTTTTTTTTTGGTGAGAAAGACCAGCCCTGAGCTAACATCTGATGCCAATCCTCCTCTTTTTTTTTTTTTTTTTTTTTCTGAGGAAGACTGGCTCTGGGCTAAAATCCGTGCCCATCTTACTCTACTTTGTATGGGATGCTGCCACAGCATGGCTCGACAAGCGGTGCATTGGTGCACGCCCGGGATCCTAACCGGCGACCCCCGGGCCAACACAGTGGAGCACGCACACTTAACCACTTGCACCACCGGGCCGACCCCTGCCCCGCACTTTTGACTCTCCTCCCTCCGCTTTGCCTGCCTTTCTTTCCTTAAGCAGCAACCAAAAAACTCACAATTTTAGTGTTCTTTGCAGCAGGTGCAAGAAGTAGGTTTCACCAATCAACTTGCATTTGGAGGGGAAAATGCAAGCCGGTTCTGAGCAGATGTTTTAAAGCTGTGGCCTGGTTCATCCATTGCTCTTGTTCTTTGGTCCCCATAACTGCCTGTTCCAGATGGAGCTGCTCCTTCAGCCTCAATCTCAGGATGAAGAAGATGTGTGGAGAAGAGTTATAGCCGACCTGAGGTCAATGTGTAATGTTGTGTAACAATGTAACATTCTCACAACGAGTGAGAAATTGACGATGCCAGTCACCAAGATTTGGGGGTTGTTTGTTATGGCAGCAAAATCTAGCGAAAGCTGACTGATAGAAAAATCATCTCTGAGGTGGTGAGTTTAAGCAGAGACCTAAATGAAGGCAGCTCTGCAAATGCCTGGGATAAGTCTTTCAGGCACAAGAAAAAGCAGTGCAAAGGCCCTGAGGCAGAAACCTGCTTGATGACTTGAGGACCAGCAAAGGGGCCAGTGTGGCTAAAGCAGAAAGAGTGATGAGGAGTATAAGGATCAGTTCAGAGAGGTATGAAGGGGCCAGATATTATTGGGACATGGTTAAGTTTCCATTTTATGGAGATGGGAAGACTTTGGAGGGTTTTGAGCTGAGGATGTGACTGGACTTGTGTTTAACAGGATCCCTCTGGCTGCCGTGGGGTAACAAGCCGTAGGGGGGAGAGGGTTGAAGCAGGGAGCACAGCGGGAAGTGAACTGTACTGGTCCAGGGGAGGTGATGGAGGCACATTCCAGGGTGGCAGAAGGGCAGGTGAGAGGAAGTGGTGGGATTTGAGTGCATTTTGAAGGTTGAGACCCAGAGGTTTGTGGACAGATTGGGTGTGGGGCATGAGAGAAACCTGTCTTTCTCCCTGACAACCCCAAAGACCTGGGCTGAGGGAAGGAGGAGGCACCCTTGACTGAAATAGGACCGACGACAGGAACGGCAGGTCTGGAAAGAGAAGCAAGTGTGGGTTTGGACATAACTGCTCACTTCTCTGTATCTCTCTGTCAAGACTCTAAATTCCTTGAGAGTTGGGGCCAGTTCTAGGCAGTTTTCTTCACTCAAGGGCTGAAATATCTATTGAAAGAATAAATAAGCGAATGGATATCTCCAATGGGCCTGTTATAGTTCCTTGGAGTTTATCCCATTGATGCTGTGGTTTTCCAACTTCTGGATCCAAAAGAATCATCTGGAAGCTGGTATAATCCAGCAAATATGAGTATGTTTCCTTGTTTTTCCCTCCCCCATGGAAAAAATAAATAGTAGCATTGTCCTGTCCCTTCCTGTTTTTTTACTTTGCAACATATTTTGGTGATCTTTCCACACAAGGACATAGCAAGCTGCCTCATTCATTTATTCATTGACAGCTGGGTAGCATTCCACTGCATGAACACACAGTAAATTTTGAACCCGACCTCACTGGATGGGCCTTTAGAGTGTTTCCACCTCTTTGCACTTGCAGACGGTACTGC